GTCGGAAATCCGTCGGTATATGTATCCGTCGGAAATCCGTCGGTATATCTATCCGTCGGAAATCCGTCGGTATGTTTAGCCGTCGGAAATCCGTCGGACAGTGAAATACTGATGGATTTCCGACGGAATGCTGACGGATTCCGGTTATTTCTTTTCCCTCGGAAATCCGTCAGTATTTCCGACGGAATTCCGACGGAATTTCTATTTCCGACGAGATAGAACCGACCGGTCAAAACCGTCGGAAAGCCGTCGGAATAGGGCTTATTCCGACGGCTTTCCGACGGATTTGACCGTCGGAATTTTGTCTGTTTTCTTGTAGTGGACTTTTAATTAATATATTCACCATTAGGGTTTGCGGCTCAATACATGCACGCCTCCTATCGCATCTTTTTTTTTTCCCTCGTTTCTAAAAAAAGGCAGGCTAAATTGTAACTTGCATAAAGGTTTTTTGTTAAATTCAGGAAAGAAATATTGACTAGGCTTATTCTAATGCAAATGAATAGTCCAAGAAGTTTTCTTTAAATTTGTTTTTAACCAAAGTTTACTTCTGTAGTTCTGTGAACGAGTCATAAGAAAAAATGTAATCCAAATAATTATAATATATATATATGTGTGTGTGCGTGTGTATATAGGTATAAGTATTCAAACTTCGACAATTCATTCATCTTGTCAATCATATCAATATCTCCATTTTTCTTGTGAATTGTGATGCATGAGTAATGGAGATATTATCGTATATACGTGATCGTTTGTGTATATGATCGTATCATGTTGTTTTATCTACGTGACTATTCTTTGGGGGAAAGTATGTAATATTGCACATAGTCCACTAAGAGAAAGGACTCGAAGTTTCTTTCGTTTCTAATCACAAATGAAAATTTGATACGTCGATGTCACACACATATAAAAACAGCTTTGTGTGCTAATTTGATTGGTACGTGGAACATATCCCGGATAATTGAATAAGCAAATAGGAGACACGATCAATATACGCATATAGATAGATGTATATGCATGGTGTTTTTGAAAAAAAAAAATGATGAGTATCAAATATATAATTTGCTGTTCAAAATGTTTAGGATCTACATTCAAAGTTATGCAATCATTCTCTTAATAGTGTGTAAAATTCTAGATTTTCAATATTTAGAGTCTAAATAAAGACAAAGTTCCATTCTTTCATTTGCATTTTCTTTCCTTTATGCACTATGGCAGACAAATTCAAAGTAAGAAATTAAAAATTGCCTAATAAAAACATCTTTTGATTCCCTGGGCACAAATCCTCATGTCAACTTTTATTTGTCTATATATTTTTATATTTTTTTCATAAAGAAAGATTCCAAATTAAATAAAACAACCAATCCAACTTCTTTTATAATCCCAAAACCTCAAGAGAAGACCCTCCATTTAATTTCATCTCCTTCTCCTTCTTATCTTTCACTCAAACTCACACCAAAAAGTTCCAATCTTACAATACATAGATTTTAATCGAGTTTTAGAGCAAGAAACCATTATATAACTTCTTAAGTATAAAACATCAATGGAGATTTCAACAAACCCA